AAGTAACTAGTAAAGTAACGCATTACTTTTTAATTTACAATAAAATATATGAGTTTCTTTTTCAAATAAGTAACTCCAGTTACTTTGTTTTCCCATTTATTGACTGACCGCTCTCCTGTCCCCATGTTGAGAGAAATCGGGAGCAAGTGCAGAGGCGCTGTGTGAACAAGAGACTAAATGTGAACATGCATTTACACTCACTTGCACAAAAACAGATTCAGTATTCCTCAAAATGAATGAAAACAGTGCAATGCAAACCTGCAAATTAAATATATTAAATAACACAAATATCTTTTATGTATTTAATCACATTTTATTAATCAATATCTTTGCTGCCGACCTTCGATGATCCAATTCAGCCACATTAATAAGCAAAAATGATTTAAAATAAACATGACATTTGTTTTTCTTTCTTTTTGTTTCATTGCTGAAGAGTGTTGAACTTTCTTCTCCTGCATTCTATGCTTCATGCAATCCAGAATGGCTGAGGCGTATTCGTTTCACTTTTGGTGTGAAAGGGCCTTTACATTTACCAAAAATAGACATTTTTATATTAAAAACAAACTAGCAAGCCCAGCCCAGCCCAGATGAGAAAAAGTAATGCAAAAGTAACGTAACGCATTACTTTCCATTAAAAGTAACAAAGTAACGTAATTAGTTACTTTTTTATGGAGTAATGCAACATTGTACACAGACAGAATGCAATTACACGTGCTGGATATTTACTACTAATCACTAGAAGCGGCTTTACTGATGAGATGCGCATGAAAAAAAACGCATTAGATTTTTTGCACAGCCCTACTTTCCATAAAATGTAACTAAGTAATACAATTAGTTACTTTTTTAGGGAGTAACGCAATATTGTAATGCATTACTTTTAAAAGTAACTTTCCCCAACACTGCTAATATGTACACTTTAGGTACTAATATGTACACTTTAGGTACTTATATGTATCTTTAAGGTACCAATATGGACTCTTTAGGTACAAAGGTGTGCCTTTTTGAAAAGGTTCCACCCTCAGTGACAGCTTTTGTAGCTTTTTTTCTGAGAGTGTACATTTCCAAAGGCGTCACATTACAGAAGCTTCTGAAAGCGCTTCATGTTGACTTCAGCTGTCAAGCACACAGAGTATGGAGGATGTGCAATCGCATCTCAGGTGAAGTCTGCTTTCAGCTGCTTGGGCCGCGAGGCTCCAAGGCCCCGGCGCTTCCCGCTCGGATGATAAATATGTTATTGAGACGGAGCCGAGCGAGCTCTCTGTGGCACGCGGAGCGAGGGTGTGTTCGGCGGTCAACAACGCTACCGCAACCGCTTGGCCAGAGCTTCTGAAATCCTAATCTGTTATTCTTCTGTTTTATAAGCTTCTGAATATTTGTGGCCGGCGAGATCCGATTCTCTGGAGAGCTACAGAGCTGCATGTGAATGGAGAACACTAGCAAATCCACACACACATAAACACGCACGCTTTCTGCAGTGTGTCATCCTCCAAAGCTTGAGAGAAACAGGGAAACGTTTCATGTTAGTGGGCGAGGAGAAGAAAAAGAAATACTGAGGGTACAGACATTAAAGGGAAAGGAGAGGGAAGGACATGCATTTTAAAACCAAGTTAAAATGCCATCTGCTTCAGGGACACGAGGAAGCTTGCGCACTCACTGAGACACTTACCAATCGCTTCTGGAAATGATAAAAAACCAGAAAAAGAAGCAGAAAGGAAGAACAAAACAGCACATTTTAGGGTCGGGTTCACAGCAGTCGCACACACCCTGAAATCAATAGAGTTTAGTGCGGAAGATCCCTTTGTAGGACGAGATGTTAAACACAGATTTTAGGCCATTTTATGAGCACGTTTAATGATATTAGAGACTAGCTTATGAGGGAATCTCAGGAAACCCGTCAAGAACATTTCTAGGTTTCTACATTTGTAAAAAATCTAAATAAAATAAAAATACAATTTGAATAAAGAGGGAATTAAGCACCACTCCATCTCCAAATTCTCATTATCAAAATAATTTAATAATTTTAAAAAATTATTCTCAATTATGATTTTAATAGTTTCTTTTACTGTACATAATTTAAAAATCATTTAAATAAGCACAAATTAAATATTTAATTGAAAGTACAATAAATAAAACTTCTATCATGTACTCCATCTGAAAGCACGTGCTGGATATTTACTACTAATCACTAGAAGCGGCTTTACTGATGAGATGCGCATGAAAAAAAACGCATTAGATTTTTTGCACAGCCCTACTTTCCATAAAATGTAACTAAGTAATACAATTAGTTACTTTTTTAGGGAGTAACGCAATATTGTAATGCATTACTTTTAAAAGTAACTTTCCCCAACACTGCTAATATGTACACTTTAGGTACTAATATGTACACTTTAGGTACTTATATGTATCTTTAAGGTACCAATATGTATAAATACTAAAAAATAGAAATATTAAAAATGTAAAAGTATAAATATTAATTTAATATCAATAATTATATATATATATATATACTTGAAATAATATTTGAATAATATTATTAATATGTAATTTAATATATATTACATGTAATATAATAATAATAATTCAAATGTATTTAATACATTTAAAAAGAACACTTATAGAATTTTACATAATGGTTAATTACATAATTAACCATTATACAATGGTTAATTGTATTACTTTTAGATAATTAATTTAAATAAGTACAAATAAAACATTTAATTGATACAAGCATAAAGTAAAGATCAATGCAAGAACAATAAATATAATCTTCCATCATGAATAAATACTTAATAATATTAAGTTTATAAATAAGTAATGTTTTAATAATATTAATAATATATAATTTAATATTTTAATGTTTTTAAAATAAGAAGAGTTTTTTCACATTACAATAATGAGAATGTGATATATCATTTCATTGTGATAATGAATTTTGCATATCTATTTTATTTTCATTTGCTTTTCTGTGGTGAAATATTACCAGAACATGTTCTTGACAAGTTTAGCGAGTTTGCAAACTTGTTTTATCACATCGATTCAAACTAATATGTTATGTATAGTTAGAATTATAGTTATGTTTTATATATAGTGTGTGAAAACAGTCAAAATAACTGCCCTTGGTAAAACAATTATCGCCTTAAGAAATTCATTAACATCTTTAGAGATTTAGAAAATGTTAGCATATTTAATTATCAATTAGATGCACCAAATAAATACTACTAAAAGCATTTAGATAACTCACTAACACACAAATTGAATTAAGACCATGATTATAGCTAATTTGTACATGCTGTATGCTCTGCATACTGAATTTAGTTCGTCTAATTAGTAGTACTCCAATAGTACGTTAATTATCAGGGGCTAGTCAATGTTCTGCATGTGAATGCGGAAATGCCGCTAGAAACCTGCTTAAATTGAAATAGAGACAGAGACATCACAAACAAGACAACAGAGAGTGAGGCACAACAAGATGTATGACCCACTCACACGGCGACAAAAACACAGACAGAGGGAGGACAGGTTGCATAGCCATGCTAAACTTAGCTGCTAAACTTTTAGCACTGCTTCGTCAAACTGTAGGCTAACATAAGCATTTTCAGAAATATGCATTCCCAAAACCCGTTAAATTACTCTGATTAATCTGCACGTCTGTCAGCAGGGCAGAGAAATTAGCTTACTAAATGACCTTGCGGCTAGTGACATCGCTAATGGAAGCTAAAAGGGTTGACTGTTTGGGTAAGGCCCAACATGCTACACAATAATCTTGCTTCTTGTTCGCAACGAGAAAAGTCAAAGGCATTTGTGTTCCTGTACCACAGCCAACGGCATTACAGAGGCCTGTGATACCCCCTCGGCGAGTCTGGGTTGTGCATTAACACGGAGCAAAACAAAGCACTCAAGTCTAGCATAAGTGAGAGCAGATGTAGCTGCTCACCGCCAAACCACTTGAATCTGAAACTTTATTTTGAAAATACCATGATGGATCCTGAAAAAGGGAACTTGGGTAAGCAAGTTCAGGTCAAGGGCTGCCAGCCGAGTATCTACTGCCCATACTGATTTACGTCAACAGCTCCGAAACAAATGCAACCCAATAGATTTTTCTTTTCTCTGTTGCTGACAAATCACTGACCCACAACGGTGGCCTTGGGGCGACTAGAGCGCTAGACTTAATGAGATATATAATTAGACTGTTTTACTGGGTCTTTCAATAAAGTTTCATTAGCTTAAACCAGACATTAATCATATGCTTGCCACAAAATTTGGACTAAGCTCCTCTGACACAGTTCATTAAAATACATTATCTTTCCATTTCAGCTTCCCTAGCAACTTATAGCGCTAACTCTGTGGGTGGTTGTTTTGGAAGAGCACAGGGTACCTATAATCAGAAAGAGGACTGGTACAGAAGCAGTGGGATAAGCAGAATAATATTAGCAGTAAAGCTTAAGGCGCATCCGTTTGTCTTACCTGATCTGAGCTGTTTGATTCGGCCGTTACTTGTGCTGGGGTCGATGGGGAGGAAGTCTTTGAACCAGGTGATTTCCGGGTCGGGGTTACCGCTCGCGGCGCAAAGCATGGTAGCCGTGCGCGTGCGCTCCACCACCTTCAGCTGTGGGCCCATGTCGATGTTGGGGAAGCCAGCAGGAAGTAGGTCCTCTGTAGGGGAAAACAAAGAAGTTTAGAGACAAGCGGTGGACCATTAGATGCCAATAACCTACTCGATAGTTCCTACTAAGCAAGTTTCTGGAAAAACCAGCTGGGCCTGGTATGAGCAAGTAGACCCTCTGTTGGGGAGAACTTAGAGAAGTTTAAAGATGAGCAGTGGACATTCAGATGCCAATAACCTACTCGAAAGTTCCTACAAAGTAAGTTTCTGAGAGAACCAACTTGGCCTAGTATGAGCAAGTAGCCAAGTCGGGTTTGGCTAGGACCTGTTTCCCTTCAGGGACCCTCAAGGGGACTTGCCGAGGGACAATCAAACATTCTCATAGCAAAGAGCACACTGAGCTGTTGCTCATACCGTCATGCATATCATTCGAGTCCTACGGATCCAAGTCTACACCACTAGAGAGAACCAACTTGGCCTAGTATGAGCAAGTAGCCAAGTCGGGTTTGGCTAGGACCTGTTTCCCTTCAGGGACCCTCAAGGGGACTTGCTGAGGGACAATCAAACATTCTCATAGCAAAGAGCACACTGAGCTGTTGCTCATACCGTCATGCATATCATTCGAGTCCTACGGATCTGAGTCTACATCACTAGCGACAGAGCCATTTAATCGGGGCAAGCACTGGTGACATTCGAGGGACAATCAAACATTCTCATAGCAAAGAGCACACTGAGCTGTTGCTCATACCGTCATGCATATCATTCGAGTCCTACGGATCCAAGTCTACATCACTAGCGACAGAGCCATTTAATCGGGGCAAGCACTGGTGACATTTCACCCCCCGGTTCCTCCATAGTTGTTTACGGCACTGAGTTGATACGAAGAGACAGGTGACACACAAACACACAATAGATTTTGACAATTCACCCCTCTCGCTCTTCAAATGAATCCAGTGTGGCTGATTCCTGCTGTTGTAGGCCAACACAAGCCTTCACGCTCTTCATTGGATCTGCTGTAAAGACAATGACGGATAAGGCAGAGGGAAAACCTCTAATTTCTTTGACCTGGTGTGACTCACATTCTGGCAAAGAAAATCAGACATCGTAGACTGTGCCAATGGGCACAGGTCAGGCTCTAAGTGTGAAGGTCACATCCTTTGAACCCTTTGAGAGTCACAAAGGTGTGCCAAGGCTCATGACATTACAAGAAACCCACGTAGTGCACCTAGTGCCAGAAACTGTTGTTTTTACACGGGCCTTAACACCAAGAGAAAGGATTTGAGCCAATGTTTTGTGCAATGACCTTTCATTTCCATGTTCAATTATTCAGTGTTGGCTAGGGAAGCATTATGTCTGCCTATCGATCATTAACCAGCAAAGATGGGATATTTAAACGTTCCAGATTGGGGGAGAAGATACAGATACTTGTCCTTCCAAAAGCAACATTTTGGAAAGCAACATTTTGTGTTTGCTGTAAATGTGATCCATGCCTGGATTATCCATGCTGTGACACCAGAATAGGATTTCTGCAAAGCACACAAATTAAGCCTTAAACACAAGATGAGTAATTTGATTTGAGCTTAATTAAAGGAGGCAAGTACTGGGGAGTTTGGACTGGTGGTGGGCGAGTGAGAGCAGCGAACAGTGTCACTGATAGAAATGTCAAAGCAATTCAAATTCTATTATAGAGTCTGTGAAAGAGGTCGAGACAGGAGCTGCAATAATACCATGTCACAGTGCTAGCACTGCTTATATATAGTGGTAATGACTGCGGGCATACGAATGCAAACGGAAAGCATATCTATATTGTCACCGGGATGCAATAAGTGACCTGGAATCATCCACTAGGAGAGGCTCACCGCAAGCACTCCAAAGTAGAGATGTCCTCTTCGGCTAATAGAAATGGAGAAGAGCTAGAAATAGAATTTGCCTTGCAGATGTACTTTTCCAGCACTCAAATTGGTTCAGGGTCAGTTGCTCTGGTAAAATATGAAGGAAATCAGGCAGTAGCGCATGCATATCCATGCCAAGAGCCCTTAGCCCTGTCCTGCCTGGCTTGCATTCATGGTAAAAAAAAGCCCTGGAGTTTTAATTCCAGCATTCCCCACCAATCTGATCACATGATTAGGTGGCTATTCTCTCCACAACAGCTTTTTGATATTGTCACAGCCAGCTGACTTACATTAGGCTTGAGGTCTGGGCACGAGTTTCTATCTACCTCTCTAGCACTAGCCTTGTGACATCCCATAACCCCATACAACTTAATTCAATTCAATTTAATTCAGAGGCTTTCAAATAGTGGCCCATTAGACAAAAACACAGCTTTCCCCTATCTTTGTGCATTTCAGGTGCTACATAATAGCATATGTCTTTTTTTGTTCTGCAATTTGCAGAGGGATAATTCTACCTCATAATTCCTTAAAATAAGAACTAGAATGCAATTACAGGCCTCGTACTGGGTTTATAACTGGGCGGCTCTGAAGGCCACCCCTGGCCTCACTAAGAGGCTGTTAAGCCGCGATGATAATGATGCTGTTATGATGATCAGCATAGCAGGATGAGTGCACCGGCCACTTTAGCCAACAGCTGCACATTCACTGATTCAGAAGGGCACTGAAGTCGTCCTGTACCCCCCTGTCGCTCAGCCCCAAACCTTCAATCCGTTAGCTTTGACAGGGGCTTTTTTGCTCGTGTTATTATCTGTAATTGCATTTAATTGTAGCTTGTGATTTAATGGCATTACGCAAGTGACAGGTGCAAAGCCTCTTAACCTGAGCGGTCAGTTTAGTGCAAGTGGATTTGCAGACGTGCATCCATGGTAATAAGCAAATGAGTTTTGATTGACTTGTGATGATCTCTGAAGCTCATTATCCATGCAGATTAAAAGTAAAATGGCTATTGCTGCCTGTGCACCAAAATAAATATGCAATATATACACAACTGCCACCTTCTGATGATTTTTCTTTTAGAATATATCCGTAGTGACAAATAAAAGACCAATTTCCATGTACAATATGAAATATAACACCAAATACTAAGACTGGGTTTGTATGATACCTAGCATTTGCCACTGGGTGTCCATAAGCAAATGAGTTCTAGTTGATTAATGATGATCTCTGAAGCTCATTATCCGTGCAGGTGTAATATTTCATATCACAGATTAACAGTAAAATGGCTATTGCAGCTTGTACATCACAATAAATAGGTAATATATACACAACTGTCGCCTTCTGCCGGGACTATGGCATTCTTGTTAACAGCTTTATCAACCAGAGACACATTTCATAATTACACAACGCATTCTTTGATAAGCGTGCATTTAAAAACTGCTCTCCAGCAAACACGTTTCTGCTGATAAAAGTCTCTGGGGCGGCATCAAATTCCACAGACGTATCCTCCCAAGTACTGGCTATTTTTTTATTTTCACTTACAGAAATGATTTAATTTCATCAGTTCCTTAATCAGGTTAACTGATTAGCTCTCGCCACAGCCAGAGATGGCTTTAGAAACACATTAATATTTCAGAGAACTCTGGGAGGGTTGGGGAACAGTGGGCGGAAGAGCCAAAGAGAGAAAAATGGGATACAAACCACACGATGGGAAGAGGAAGACGTGTTTTTCAAAAGCAGAACTAAGATGACATTTAACTAATCTGTAGCCCCAGCTGTGTGGATTTGAGAGGTGGACAATTTAATTTCCTGTGCTCCAAAAACAGCTCAATTTGCATAACAGGAAGTGCACGGAGGAGCGGACGAGAGTTTGTGCACTTGCTTGATTAATTCTGGAAGAGTCACCGGTCATTAGGGCTGTGTATCATCAGCAAAGTCACGATACATTACGTATCACGATGCAGAGGCCACGATACGATACATATTACGATACAGGACTGCACTGAATTTCACCTCAGTAGAATTTAGTAAAACAGCTGTTTATTAAACACTGCATACTATAGTACCATTTCTAACTATTGGCAGAGCAGACAGTTGACCTCTGCATTATGAAGGGCCTCCATAACTGTACCACAGTACAATATAGGTAATGGCATATGTTTCATGTTTACATTGGGCACTCCCCACCAGGTACAATATTCTGATTGCTTGCATCTTGTTTTTAAGCCCATAAATAATAAAGTACTCGTTCTAATAAATTTATATAGTAATGTACTCATTCTAATATATAAAAAAAAATTATATTTACATTGCTGGTAGGTTATCGTTGCACAAATTAACACACTCTCTACGTTTAAAAAAAAAATTAATTAGAAGAGTGTCTTCACTGTATCTCACGCACACACACGCTCAGTCACTCACACAGATCGCATTGTTGCCACACTCGGAAATTCAGGAACAAACTTTTTAGCGCTGCCCGGCAATTTTATCAATAAAATAGCTTAATTGCTCAAGAGCTACATTATCTTTCTAAACAAGGAGCTGGTAACATCATAGTTTCTAAAGGAATTAAAGCCACAGCTTCACTATTAACAGAGAAACGCGGCAAAACGGTGGTAATTCATACATACACAGCCCCTCTCTCTCTCTCTCTCTCTCTCTCATAAATGAACACTTGATGAGTGAATTACACTTTTCTGAGAATAGAATATTGAAGTGGAGATCACTAAACTGCAAGCGCACCAGTGTTTTCAGATAGCAAGCGCGTTTATCCACAGTGGAGAGAGCGCGTGTGCACATGGTTGCCAGGTTGACAAAGATAAGTAACACACTTAGCAGATATTTCCGTATTGTGCAAGTGTGAAGCTCTGTTTCGGGGATTACGTCTCTTTATATCAGGCAACCCCAGTTGTGTTCCTCTGCGGCCAGATTAAACCTTGTTGTAGCCTATATATTATGCTCTATTCATTATTTTTTAGAAACCTCACACTTTTCTACTCAATTTTAAATGTTGTTCTTGTATTCAAATTAAGCGCGGTCCACTGCTGCACACGTGCCACAATATCAATACAGGGCCAGTTGTAATGATACTCGTATCGTCAAATCTCTGTGACGATACATCGTCGTATCGATGTATCGAACACAGCACTACCGGTCATGGC